TAAAATATGTAAATTAATTTTATTTTAAATTTAATTCAACTTCAAATCCAAATCCAATTCAATAAAATTTAAACTTAACCTAATTTTACCCAACCCATTATCGACCTTTTAGTTATTTATGTTGGATTGATCTTTATTTATTTTTGAAAAATTTTATATTTGGATTTATATTTAAAGAATTTTAATTAATTATACTTGAATTTTTAAAATTTTTTTATTATAATTAAATATTAATTAATTATATGTAAAAAAATTATTTTTTTATATTAATTGGTGGGAAATGGAGATCCCCACTTAGAATGAAGATGGGAGGGCAAAATTTACCTCCCATTAAAAATCTCTGTGGGGATTCCCATCTTCGCCATTCGCAGTCTCTTTCCATCCCCACGGGCCTCATTGACATCCCTACATGCAATTGTGAGATGATTACCTAAAAATTTTATTTATTTTATTTTTGGGCAGCTCCCCTTCTACAGTTCCTCACCCAATGTCAAGGGCAATATCGTTGACTTTCCTAATAAAATTAATATAATATTTATCTAATTTTTATTTTAAATATATAAGTTAAAAATGTAATGAATATAAATTTTTATAAATAATTTACATAAAAAATTATAAAAATTGATATTTATTTTAATGCTATTGATATGTAAAAATAATTTTAATTGGTTAATTAATTAATTTAAAATTAACTTTTATAATTTTTTATATAAATTAATAAGAGACTAATACGAACTGTCTCTTATACACAGCTAGGTGTGTATAAGAGACAGATTTTTTATCCTACATTAGTATTGAGTTGGTACTAATTAATAATTTATATTAAGATTTTTTTAAGTGTATTTATTAAATATTTTTATTATTAATTTATAAAAAAATTTAAAAAATAAATTTTATTTTTAATATCAATATTATGTAAAATACTTTAATTAGATAGTTAATAGAATTAAAATAATTTTTTATATAATAATTACAATATATGTCTTAAACGACATTACTTAAATTTATTAAATTTACAAAAATTAATTTTTAAAAAAACTTATCACTACCTAAAATGGCCAAAACAATAATTATTACAACATAAAAAATATTATTATATTGATAGTTTAGTGTTTTACATTCACATAAGTTTTTTTTTCTCAATTCTTTACCTAAAATAAATTTAAGAAAAAGAAATTATCATATACTCATAAAAAATTAGTGTAAATTTATAATTACTATCTACTTTAATTATTTAATCATTCTATTTAATTTTAGTAAATCTAATTTTTTTATCTAATAAAATAAAAATGTAATAATTAATTGATAAAATTTAATATTTATTTTTAATTAATAATTATTTTAATAAATCTTTTTATTTAATATATATTGTAATTATCTTTTTAAAATAAAGGTAAAGTACAAAAAAATCTATTATATAGCATCTTAAAATACACAAGTAAATTTAAATACCTAAATTAAAAATTAAATATATTAAAATTTAACTAATATTTCATTTGTTATAAAATATCTATCTCTTTTATAAAAATATATATTTATAGCAATAAATCTGAAATGGTACGTGAAAAATTTTGATATCCAATATATACCATTTTAGTAACAAAATTGATATGCATGTCGGTACGGTATTAATAACTTTAATAAAAGATGTCAACTTTCTTTATCGAAATGGAGAAAATTTGGCAGTTAGAAATTGTTGAATGAATGTGCCGGGTAATCATCAGAGACTCCATGTATGGAATTTTTTTTTTTTTTTTAGATTCAAGTTTTTTCAAGTAGATTGTATATTAAAAGTACAATTTATTTTATAAATTTACTTACATATATTTAATGAAATAATATAAAAAATAATTTTATTAAAAATATTTAAATAAATTCGTAACACATACTGTACAATTAACATACAGTCGGCCCTATAGCACATATTTTTTGTCTTTTTATTTTGTTCGCATTTACGAAAAATGGTTGGGCTGAAGCTCAGTTCAAGCCCAATGTTAATGGATCCTGAAAGCCCAATAAAGTTCGCTCCGTTGACCTTTTATGCAGAGCTTG